GCTGAATAAAATACTGCAAGTCTGAATTACCTCAGACCGGTCAGTTAAATGATGATATCTCAAGGCCGTCGCCCTTTTCAATGGGAAAACACGCAGAGCAAAGCAAACTGGACTGAGGGCATGCTCGCACTAGCTTGCATTTTCATAAAATCGGAAATTGTAGGTGATTTTTTGGGTCACAAGGGCTACGTATTTTCCGTTTTCATGCAAATGGGCACGTAAATGTCAGCGGCTTGGACAGCCACGGGTTTACGTATTTTGCGGGAACCTCTGGAGGTCCCTGCAATTGCGTATTTCTTTTAGACCTGTTTCTTTCTGGAAACAAAAAAAAAGAATTCGACGTTTGGTGAGCAGCTCTCGTAACGGGGAAAAAAAAAAAAAAAAAAAAACAGGAAAAAACAGGAAAAAGGGATGGAGTCTTATGCATGGTGATGCGTGACCCCTTGGCCCGTATAATCGCATTCCTAGAGCAGGTCAAGACTGTGTCCTTTATGTTTTGTGACGTATACGGGTGTGCTGTGTGACTGGGAAGTGCCGTGTAAGCAAATTTGCTCACATATAATTTGCGATTGTATGTGCTAGTGTGAGTATGCCCTGAGGATAGACAAAAGACAGACACGCCTGGAAGACAGACACACCTGGACTCGCAACAGACAAAATACTCACATGTAATGACCTGCAAAATCACAGACTGAGAGCTCTGATGTTTTCCGAGTCTTGCCGCTGGATTGTGTGACGTGCTGAGATTCCCACATTCTGCAGAGATTTCTAAGTCCAGGTGTGTGCATGCTTGCTGAGTTTCTGTGTTTGTCTGATTGCATAATTGCTTGGGTGTGTGTCTGACCCGCCAGTGTGCTCATATGCTGGAAAAGCCCTCGGGCCTGGTACTTACCTGTGGCCGTGCTTTTGTGGGGTTGCAGCGGGGACTAGTGGTAGGCTAGACCCGCATAGGGATTTTCTGTGTGTTTGTCTGGTTGCATGATTGCTTGGGTGTGTGTGTGACCCGCCCAGGTACTTGTAGTGTGCTGGAAAGGCCCTCGGGCCTGGCACTGACCTGTGGCCGTGCTTTTGTGGGGTTGCAGCAGGGACATAGTGGTAGGCTAGACCCACATAGTAGGATGAAAAACACTCAAGTAGTGGGTAGGCTAGGCCCGCGAAGGATGGGAAATACTCGAGTAGCAGGTAGGTAGGCAGAAGAAGATAAAAAGATAATACCTTTAGAGCCCGAAAGGAATTTAGAGTCCAGTTGGCTTAGGTATCGGTCCAGTAGTCGGAGTCTGGGGCCTGCAAAGGATATCAGATTGCAATGATGTTTGCCTCCAAAAGGAGGAAGGTACCGGTACCTTGGGAGGCCAAGAGGCCTGTAAAAGTCACCGCCGAAGGAGGCAGCAATCCGGTATATCTTCAAGAAAAGCGGTGATTTCTTCCTCATTTTGCGGTGTGCATGTTTCGCATCATGCCGCTGGAGCGAGCGCTTGGTGTTCCAGTGCTGGGGCTTGGAAGTCTCCGGGAAGTAGGAGAAGGAGGACGAGGATGGTGAGCAAGGAGGAGAGTGACGGGGGTGCTTGCCTGGCTATGGTGGTCTGCATGTTCATCTTCTTGGTTGGCCCTGGAGCTGGGCTTCATCAAGGAAGACTTCGGGGTGGTGTGTTGGACATGGCGGCCATTGAAGTAGGAACACAATGTCTTTGCATTCTCATTAGAACATTAGAGCAGGGCTCCACTAGTCCGCCATAGCCATCCGCTTAGCCAAGTAGGAGGAAGGTGTATGAGATGGCTATGGTGGCAGAAAGAAACTGGTCGCCATCACCCAAAAAGTTGGGGCTGGGTGGGAAGAGGCCGCAGTTGATAAATTCCATCGGTGGCCACCGAAAGCATTACCGGCCTCTGAGAGAGGCCGGCGGCCGACGTATGGGTGTACTGGTGGTTCAAACGGGGAGGAAGTAGCATGCCTTGAGCCTTCTACACGGGCCAAAGGGCCCGGCATTGTAAGGGCCCGGCATTGTAACGAGCGCCCTTGCTTTTGATTTTATGCATGCATGTGTGTTCTTATCCTGGCTATCTTGAAGTGCAAAGACAAATTGAATGCATATTAATTGCAACTGAAATGAAAGATCTTGGGAAGAGAAGTAGACAAAGCAACAAGAACAAATAAGAATGGAAGAAGAAGAAGAAGAAGATGTACACCGGCAAAGACCAATGTTAAATCCGTCTCCAACTCGCGATCACCTTCAACCTCCTTATCTCCCCCAACTTCTTCTTGACAATAGATAAAAAGGAATGAAAGAATGAACCAGAACTTATGTCTGAGTCTCATCTTCATTGCCAGGAACTCTGGGGACGTGTGCTGGTGGTTTAAGAAGCTGACTCGGGGCCACACTGAGGGCCAAGTTCGCGATCTGGAGGGGGAGCCAGAACTCGGGGTGAGCGAGTGGGCTGTTGGTGAGATGTAAGAGAGGCAGAAGTATGGATCTACCGGTGCAGATCTACCAGAGCGGATTTACCAACCCTTTCTTTTTTTTTTCTTTTTTTTTTAAGCACCCCCTGCAGTGTTAGTGCTGCTGATAAGAGCAGACAGCACTACCACCGGAGGAGAGGCTCCATCTATTGGTGGGGAGCATACCAACCCTGCTTCTTCCCAGACGAGACCTGTTGTTCCACCTTTGTTGGCTCGGGTTTCGTCATCGTAGAAACCTAGTTTGCCCCATATTCCCTGCTTCTGCCCGACCAAAAGCTCACTGTGATCCCCTGGCCAGCCATCGCCCCTTCTGTCTGCAGACCACCTGTTCTAAGCATAGGCATGAAGAATATTACAGGTCTATGCTGCAGAAAAAGGCAGCGATGATGGCAACTGTGATTAAAAAAAAAATATATATATATTTTTCCCAAAAGACCAGACTGGGCCTACTAGGGGGGATTATATGAGCTGCCCCCCCCAAGTAGGCCTATCGCTCGCTGCTCCATCTATTGGTGGGGAGCATCACCTGCTGGAAAGCGGGTCAAGCGTCCCATGAGCACACAAAGTAGTATGAATGATACGTGGTATACATGGTAAGAATTTGACTGTGATAAAAATCAATCATCTTGATTTTCTTTTTTCCCCCGAACAACCCATAACATTGCATTCCTTTGCCTATTCTTTTGAGAAATTACTGGTCCGAGCTACAAGAGGGGGAGGATAGGAGCCCCTTCCTGTAGCAGACCAGCTTCCAGTCGCTCCAGTCTATTGGTGGGGAGCTCCACCTGCTTGAAAACGGGTCCAGTGACATTGCATTCCTAACTTTCCCCTCTTACAGAATGCTTCATTAAACCACGAATCCACACCCTGCATGCACTGTAGATTGTTTTTCATACACGAGTACCGATGCAAAATCCACAGTGCACAGGCCCATGGGAGGTCCCATGGAGGTGGGCTGCTGGACCCACAATGAGAAGACAGTGCCAATGTGCAACCTTCAAATCATAACGCGGCAACATAGGGCCTCGCTCCACTCCTACAGGCTACTACAGGTGGTGATTAACCCGGGGTGTGATTTTTGCCGAATTTTGCACTGAAACTCTCAGATTGGCCAGATTCGTTACTGTTTTTCCCTTGTTTTTCTTTTTGTGTGATATGGAGGTGCTCTCGGGTGCATCATGTATTCGGTTTTTACATATTACTCGGGCTAACAGAGAGAAACCTATCACTTCATTGGGTGTTATTTTCACCGAATTTCGCACTGAAACTGTCATATTGGACAGGCCAGATGCTTTGCTTTTTCTCTTGTTTTTCTTTTTCTGTGATATGCAGGTGCTTCAGGGTACGTCTGTGTTCTTTGCTTCAGCGGCACCGCGTAGGTGCTGAGTTCTGTTCCCGTTGCCATCGCTTTCAGTGGCCTGTGGAAGATGGCCAGGGCCAGTTAACCCTTCCGGTGGCCTGTAGAGGATAGCCAGGGTCAGTTAACCCTGGTAGCTGACTGGGGTGAGAGATGCCACCCTGTAACCCGCAAGGGCCAGTTAACCCTGGTAGCTGGCTGGTGTGAGTTGTGCCACCCAGTAACCCGCAAGGGCCAGTTAACCCTGGTAGCTGGCTGGTGTGAGTTGTGCCACCCTGTAACCCACAAGGGCCAGTTCACCCTGGTAGCTGGCTGGGGTGAGTTGTGCCACCTTGTAACCCGCCAGGGCCAGTTAACCCTGATAGCTGGCTGGGGTGAGTTGTGCCACCCTGTAACCCGTGACAACGGGGGAGAGTCAGGCCAGGTGGAAGTGGCTGCTCAGGTCCTTCTGCAGCCGGTTGGACACACCCAATAAAAGAATTCTCAGTCAAAATCATCACAGCTAACATTCATAGGGAAGTGGCTGCTCAGGACCTCAGGTTGCTGCAGCCGGTCAGGACACGCCCAATTAAAGAACTCTCAGGTTGAATTCTTAGTCAAAAGCATCATAGCTGACATTCAGGGCTCGAATACGATGCCTATCAGGGTTGAAACACTGGCCAGTCACCTGTGGATACATCTCAAAGCTCCCGCCCTTCAGAAAAAAAAAAAAACATTTTTTCTTGACATATTTGCATCTACCAGCCCGGCCACCCGGGGCACCTTGTTTTCCCGTGCGTCCCGGGCGTGCAAGGACCAAGGTCCCAGCAGGAAAAAAAAAAAAAAAATGTTATGCAAAGAACCAACTGAACTTTTTTTTTTTTTTTTAATTGTGATGCACCTGCTGGAAACCGGGTCCAGCGTCCCATAAGTACAAGGGAGCCAATATGGATTGTTCACTGAGTACCTGCCAGAGACCTCTCAGCCGACAGGCTGTCTGACTAGAGTGCAAAGACTAGCCTCACAAGTAACTACAACTGGGTACAAATGCTCTTAACTGGGTCGAACACTGAACAACTTCTGCCTCAGTGTCACATCGAAAAAAAAAAAAAAATCTTAACCAAATTTAAATTTTAAACTACAAAACAATTTATTTTTTTATTTTTTTTTTTTGGCCCGGCCGGGCAAGTGGTCCCGGTCGACTCTGGTAGCCTAGCATATTTGTTATTATTTGGATAAATATATTTCTTTTGCACCCTTCTTCCTAATGCCCTGCACTTTGAAGTACACAACACAAAAAAAGCAAGCCTTGCACAATTATTTTCCATTTTTCTCCCCCGTCTCTACAGTAGCACTCCTCATCGTCACTCGTAAAGTTTTTTTTTTTTTTTTTTTTTTTTTGGAGGCTCCAGCACACCTGCTCATGCTACAACTGGTTCTATCGTTCAGTTTCAGCTATGTAAAATCGTTTTCGGAGATCTAGACTTGCCTTGTTAAACCGTTTTCCTCTTTACTTGCAAATCAACGCACCAACCTTTGCGCGGGTGTTTATTTATGCTTGCAATTTTTCTCGCAACCCCCCCGCGTTATCCGCCCCCCTCCGCTCCCCCCCTCCTCTTACCGTCCCTCCCCTTTCCTCTTTTATCACCCCCCGCCTTTTCTTAATCGCACCCCCTCCCCCTGAACCACAAGCACCTACCTATACGAACGCCAGTGCTTTCCGCCACTTGTCGTGCCCATCGGCACGATCGCCCGCGGGTCCCCCCCCACCTTTTTCCCCCTTTCCACCTTCGTTCCCCCCTCCCCCCCTTTACCCCACCCCTTGCCCTGAATCACAAGCACGTACCTATGCGAACGCCAGTGCTTTCCACCACTTGCCGCGCCCACGAAGACCAAATAAATCGGCACGCCAAGAGATCGAACAGCGAGACAACAGGTGCATGGACATGCAGGACAATAAACGAGCCTCAGGACTTCGACTTCAGGTTATTGAGTGAGCTACATTATTAACTAGACAAAGAAAAAACCTACTTATCAATCAGTAAGCTAGCTACGTCCAGCAACCGACGAATCAATCAGACAATAATCAGTTGCATGTAAACACCTCGAGTCCTGAGCGACTGGCAAATCCGTCAAAGCGCGACGAATAATAGCAGACTACAGCTATTCTCCTCCTCGTCCTCCTCGTCCTCCGTCTGTATGGGGCTATACCCTCCCGTTAGTTAGTTTTTTTTTTTTTTTTTTTTTTTTTTGAAGGCCCTCATACCTGTCTCTTATACACATCTAGATGTGTATAAGAGACAGGTCTTCTCCTTCTCCCGTCCTTTCCCTGCTGCTGATTGCTGCTCCTGCTCCTAATTCAGCTTCTGCTGCCACGCATTGTTCCCCCCGTTGTCTCTCAGTTCGGCGACGGACGCCTGCATACCACCATAACCTGCTACCCTGCTCTGGCCCCTCCTCCTCCTTCTCCTCCTCTCCTTCTCCTCTACTCCTCCTCCTTCTGCATACCACCATAACCTGCTACCCTGCCCTTGCCCCTCCTCGTCCTCCTCTTCTTCTTCCTCCTCTTCTTCCTCTTCTTCCTCCTCTTCTTCTTCTTCTTCGAGGTATTTGTCCTCCTGATGCCTCGTAGCTGGGGGCGAAGTTTAATGTGCCTTCTCCTCCTCCTCCTCCTTCCTCTTCTATGCACGGGGCTAGCACACGGCTCTTGGCAGAGCGAGAGGCAGCTCAGAGGCTACCGTACCTCCGCTCTGCACGAACAAAACGTGCCAGTCTGCTCGAGCAGCCTACTTCTGGTGGTGCTACTAGTTGCCGGTGCTGCTTTCTGCTAACGCTGCTGGAACTCCTACTGGCGTGTGCTTGCTTCTGCTGCGTGCAGCTGCTGCCTCTGACAACCTGGGGCACCCGTCGGAGGCGGCGTTGGGCCTAGTACGAACATACGGAGCTGAGCTGGGATCGCGGTACCTGCAGTCCGACAACGCGATCCACAATGTCCTCTCTCGACGGGAGCAGCTGCGCCTCCGGCGCCGCCATGATGTCGTGGTTGATCGTGGATTTAAGGTAGGCATTGTACTCCTCGACGATCTCGGCGAAGAGGGGATTCGAACGCTTGACCTGTCGAAGATACCCTGTGTCCACTCTCTTGAATTCCCGGTATAACCCCCGGACTACGGCCTGGGGGTATCGAGAGATCGAGACCCCGTTGCGCCGCATCTCGTCGAGAACCTGGTCAAGTCCCGGCCCGTAGAAAAAGGCGAGATTGACGGACAAGGCGTCTTCGGAGGCGCGTTGGAGCGCTCGGTCGGCCATAGCCACGACCTTGGAAGGCACGAGGAAGACGGCGGCCTCGGGCCCCTGCAGCCCCGGATAATGCACGACCTTGGCGCCCGTCTCCCAGATGCGATAGCCAAGGTCCAGCCGCAGTCCCAAGAGCTCCAGCCCATCGATGGTCCCGTTGGCGAGCGCGGGCTTGATCTCTGCGAAAGGAAGCGCGACAGGTGTGGTCCCCACAGCTCTGAGGATCGACCCCGGGAAGCCCGTCAGGGGATTGCCGGAGTAGCGCAGCTTCAGCCCGCGGAAGTCTCTGAGCCTGCGGATGGGTCTCTTGTACCAGTCTCCGAACTGCGGGCCGAGGAAGGCGCCGCCGTAGTACCCGCGCATGCCCTGCGGCTCGAAGATGCGCTTCCAGAACCCTCCGAAGGTCGTGTGGCGCAGGAGCGACGCGAACTGCACCGCCGACATTCCGAAAGGCACGTCATTGGACAAGTACTGACCGGTCAACGGATCCAGTCCGAGCGGGACGGCGAAGGTTGCCGGCGTGCCCAAGCCGAAAGCCCGCCCTTCTTTGACGGCCTGGAAAATGACGGCGCGGTCCACGCCATAGGTGATATTGCTGACGGCGACTTTCCCGCCAGTCTCCGCGCTCAGAGAGCGCGCGAACTCTTCCACGGTGTCCCTTAAACCGGGGAGCTCGAAAATCGAGACAAAGAGCGGGAGAGCCACCTGCGGGGAGGCGGAGGAGGAGGGGGAGGAGGAGGGGGAGGAGGAAGGGGAGGAGGAGGGGGCAGCGAGGGCTGCGGAGTTACCATCGCTGTCCACGAAGTGAAGAAGAAGAAGAACAATCAACAGGAGAACGGCACGTTTTGCCCCCCGCAGATGAGCTTGAAGTTCCTGGCAGCAAAGCGCATCGTGGCCGTCGCACCCTCCATCGCTCCCCTCCTTCGGACGAAAACGTGGGAGTGAGGAGGTCCCCGCCATCCCCGCCACCCTCGAATTCGTCCTCTTGGTCGCGTGGCAAAACCGCCGACGTGACACACCAGGCGATTCAGCAAAATCGGATTTCGCTCGGATCGCGTTGAACATGGAAAGATACGCGCACAAGCGGGGACTGCCTCAACGCTGCGCACCGTGTCGTTTTGTTCCTTTCCTTACCTGTTGCAGTGTTGCGGCCTCGCATCCTTTTGGGCCTGGCCGGTGATGCCGTGCCGTGGTCGATTGGGGGGTGCGCCCACTTTTTGGAAGGGACGCTTTCCCGGCTTGTATAAAAAGATATAGTTCCGTAGGGAGCGACTCTCCACATCAGCGAACGACAAAAAAGATTGACAATGTATCTTTCCATGTTGTACGGTAGCGGAGGAATCAGGGGATCGCCACACAAACCAGGTTTTCGACTTTTTTTTTTTTTTTTTTTTTCTCTCAATTTCACCTCACACTATCTACCTACCTACCACTACTAATTGTAGGCATACGGGGAACCCCGTAGCAGCCAGAACCGTGTTCAGGAGAGGACATAGGGGCGTGCTCCCGACCTGCAGGTGGGCTACTGGCCGTAGGGGACAGGCGGTAGAATCAGGGACCACCAGGGGCCAAGTCCCACTAGCAGCGTTGAGCTACCTCAACGCCTGAATCTGGACGTGTATGGAGACGTGCAGTTCAGGAAACTCAACACCATTTCTGCACATCTCCGCAAAAGCCTCCAGATTCAGGCATTGAGGTAGCTCAACGCTGCTACCGTCTTCCCCCGAACACAACGCACCCTCATTCTGACTGTATCTGGGCGCATACCTTGTATGCGTTCCTTTTCAGGCTGCGTTATGTTCGGGGGAAGACGGTAGTGGGACTTGTCCCCAGGGCAAGAGAACCAATCCCTGTGCCTCCCCTCAGGTCCCCTCCCCTACGAACATCAGCAGACTCTTCTCAATGCCGATCGGGGGATCCACGGCCACACAGACTTTCGAAGAATTGCAGCTCAAAAAATTTCAACAAGGTGTACTTTCTTTTTTTTTTTTTTTTTTTCAGACAGTCATACGGATTTTTTTTATTTTTTTTTTCTTAAGGCAACCAATTCAATTACCTGTCAAATCTGGACAGGACGGCCTTTCAGGCCTTTTTTTATTGTCATTATTTTATTACGGGGAACCCCGTAGCAGCCACATCCGCGCTCCGGCATATGGGTATGCCCGCCGGGTTAACTCATCACTCGTGGAATAATGTATACTGAAACCAGTACTTGGCCCATACATCGGCCGCAGCCAGCAGAAAGTCGAAACGGCAGCGGCTCGACAAAACTTGGCGCGCAGAGCGTATTCAGGCTCGGGATCAATAGCTGGGCCAAGTACTGGTGGTTTAACCAGTTGCAGTCTTTGGGTTTAACAAAGACATAAAGGTGTACTTTGGAAGAATTGCAGCTCAAAAGAATTTCAACAAGGTGTCATAATGGTACCCTCTACAGCCACCCTCCCCCATTCGTTTCCTTCCCCCTGCCTGCAGGACACGGAAATTCGGAAGTGCCCCACCTGCCTTTCGAGTCGAGATTATTATTATTATTATTTTTTATTTTTTATTTTTTTTCACACAAACAGCCCGGGCGACTGCTAGGGCTGCTGATATAATCAGACAGCACTAGCAGTTCCAGGATGGCTCCATCTATTGGTGGGGAGCAACACCTGCTGGAAATCAGGTCCAGCGTCCCTGTAAAGCGCATTTGAATTGTAGTTACACAGTTGAGAGTCACCGTATGAGCATGTGAAATCAATCTAATCGTGAGAAACTAGTGCACATATGGGTGTGGTGAGGCGGGCTGTCCTCTGCCCACACACCTACAGAACCTATGTGCAGTTACCATGACGTCTGTACCAGCTGACGGTTATACTGTAGCGGGCTATTGTCTGGCCAGCAACCAATTAATCTGAACGAGTGTCCATGCATTTACAATGCACCCTGTACTGGCTATTATTAGCAATGCAGTCAACTGTACACACTGTGTACTGTCTATTAGTTACTATTATTTGCAATGCAGTCAAATGTACAAACTGTGTACTGTCTATTAGTTTTAATGTAGTCTCCTGTACACCTTGTACACTGTACTGACTATTAGTTGCAATGCAGTTGGCAATGGGAACCGAATCAATTATAATCTGCATATTGTTTACAATAATCTGTTTGTCTATGCTGTTGTTAAAAGCTGTGAGCTTATTGTTGTTGCACTTCGTCTTTCCATGAGGCCCAACCCCCGGCCGGCCGCCGAGACAATGAG